TAATATTTATCATCGAAAGACAATCTAAATATTTGTAACATAAAACAAATATATAGAAACTTCGATAAAAAGTCCTTTTTTATTGTGCAATTTCAATTAATCAAAAAAGAAATGTACAGTTAACAAAACAAATTTGAAGGTATATTTACCTCTCGAACAAAATATTCACTAAAGGAAAAAATGGGTGATTTTTTTTACAATGGACTTTTTGTTCTACAACAATAATTTATACAACGAGGAAAAAATGAAAGTGCAAGTTTGGCTCTTCAATATCGATACTTCAATGCAGATGTTGTTCAAACATGATCTTTGAAATAGGTATTATTTTTATCTATTAAAAAAATTGCATCATACTCCATAAAAATGAACATAGTGATTTACTTCCCGTTGACTATGTATTAAAAAGAAAAGAGTTGAGCAATAATAATAAAATAAAAAACAAATACCACTTTTAAAATAATGATAAAATGTAAAAACAAAAAAACAATAATATTTTAACTAATTGAAATTTAAAAAATATTATTATTAAAAAATATAAATATAATAAAAATAGTTTAAGAATGTGTGAGAGGGTGTGAGATGGTTTGTGTGATTAATGAATAAAAATAAAAAAATGTATTATATTAAACCAAAATTGTTTTAAAATTACTATAAAAATTAACAATATTCATATATTTTCGTGTTTACTTTATTATATTTTTAATTATCACAATTATAAATATTTAAAATTAAATAAAACTTATTCAAAGCTGTTGAGATATTTGTTTGTTTTCACTTGAGTTTGTGTTATATTTATTGATTTTTATTGTATTATAAATAATCGTTTTCATCAAGAAAATTAACTAAAGATTAGTTTAACTCTATTTGAAAGTAATATGATTTACTACACTTGAAAAAATACATTGTTTGTTTTGTATTGTTGCAAAAGAAAATAAAAATACTTTTATTTGGTTGTTTAATTAACACTTTAATTTAAAAACGACACAAATGATCAATTCAAAACCTTTGTTAAACTAACAAAAATACATACATATGTATATTTATATAAACATTAACAAATACTATTAATGTAAATAAAGAAAAAGTATATTAGTTGTTTAAATAAAAATTTACATTGAAATCACTCAAATCTTTTTAAATAATTTTTATCAGTTGTAAGTATCTTTAATATTTACTTCAATTATGATGAGTGAATATTGTTATTTAATTTCAAAATTTTTGCATTTTATCATTTCACATGCTATTAACTGTTCAATTGTTGTTCTTTAAAACTGGATTGTTACACATTGTAATTATCCAGTTACAGATTTAAACAATACAAAATTTTGTTTAAATCGTTAATTTTAGTTTTACCAATTTTTAAAAAACATTCAACTTTAAAAAAACTTTTTAAGTTTTTTGTTGACAATATGCTAAAACTAAAATATATATTGACACGTATTAGAGATTGCCACGAAGTTGTTTAAAAACTGGATCTTGGCCGACCCTGCGGTGAAAAAGTCTATTTGTTGTAAATACAGCACAATAAATAATTTATTTGTCAAATTCGAAAGAATTTTTTAGAAAGTACATTTTAATATTGAATTTTAATTTAAAAAAAATTGGGTTTAAATTCAAAAAGGATCAAATTCGAGAACAAAATTTTATTGTCGTACACCATAATGATTGGTCAGTTGTGCGACAAATAAACTCGTTTGACAATTAAGATAATGACAAATAGACTCTTTTCACAGTATTGTTTTTCGCTATAAATAAAATATACCTATTATAACATACATTTAAATTAAAAATATCGTATATTATGATATATAATGTATATATATAATATTCACTTCACACTTATTTCGCACGACATATAAACTATTATAATAATTCATCTGAATAAAATAAATATATATTTCTAATTTGGTATATCAAGTCGATGTAAATACAATTCGATAAACATAACAGTTTTATTCTATTGACTATAATAATCAAAAGCATTTGTTTTATTATTATAATCAACAAACACAACCGATGTTTTCACTATAATCAATATAAAATTATCATTTAAGCAACTTACTCTTCAAAAATGGGCATTTCTCAAATGCGTGATTCTCAATGTGCACTTCTTTATTCATTCCAACAACCTCCATCAAATTTTCACACCCGCAAAACGCGCCTCTTTCGATTTTTTTGAGTGATGTTGGCATCACAACCCTTTGAAGATTCTTTCTATTCTGAAAAGTGCCTTTAGGTATAATATTAATACCATCAGGCACCATATAGACTGGCACATCATTTTCATCGACATTATCAAAGACGACATTCACAAACTTGGATTTGTCTTTCAACAAATCAAAGACGTACGAAGAGACTCTTTCCTTGAACACACCGTTTTGTGGCATTTTTTCTATAACCATTTCCTTCAACTTTTTGCAGTATGAAAAATCGATTGACGACACAAATTGCTTTGGTATTTCAGTAAATGTCACTGCAGTCAAATTTGGACAATTTTGTATACAAACTTTTCCTTTTCCTCTCCACGCGAGTTCTCTGAGCTTTTGGCAATTTTCGACAAACAAATCAAAACATTTTAAAAAAGTTTCCGTCTCAATTATTTCAAGGGAGTCACACTGTTTTATTGGATCCGATATTTTCGTCACACCTTTTGGTATTTCAATGGACGTAATGTCTGCTTTGTGAAACGCTTGTCCTCCAATTCGACTACAATACGAAGGCACTTTTCCACCAAAATGAGTCACATCTGCTTTAGTAAAAACAAATCCCTGTTCATATATAATGTTATTAGCATCAAGTATACTTTTCATATAACACGCTGCCTTCAAATTAAAAGTCTTATTTCTATAACTATTACCGAATTCTATTTTTGATAAATTGTGAAGGTATTGGAAGTGTTTGAATTGCATTTTTCTATTTAAAGTCACTGCAGTCACACTATCTAAATTGCCATAACACCCAATTTGTGTCACATTTGTCAGATCAAGATTTTTAATGCCACAATTTGAAAATGCCCGATTTCCTATTTTAGTGACACTTCTTGGAATTTGAGAGTCTTCAATGTCAGTTGTATTTGAAAATGCGTCATAATCAATTTCATCAATAGGAAGTGTCAATATTTCTCGTGCTTTATCTTTGCCGTATTTTTGGACGTCTTCTGCGGAAACTAAAATGTCGTGTTTAATACCGGCAAATGCTTTAGATGATGATAAATTGATTAATGTATCCAATTTTGTGAGACCAAAAGTCGTCACATTAATGATGTTTGTGCACTTGTAAAATGAGGATCTCCCAACTGATAATAACTCTTCACCAAAGGTCAATGCAGTAAGACTCAAACATCTCTCAAAACAGTTGTTTGCAACGTGTTTGACATTTCTGAGGTCAATTGCCTTCAAATTGGTGCACATCTGAAAACACATGAGGGGGAGGTGAGTCAACCGGCTGTCTAAAATGATTTCTTCGAGCTTTGCATTGCCAATAAAACACAGCTCTTCAAATTTGGTGACGCCAGTCGTGTCGAGGGAGCGCGGCAAGTACGCCGTTCTCGAGTTAAAACACCGACACGAAAATTGAGTGGCACCTTTGAAAGAATGATATCTCTCCCAATCTCTACCATCAAATATAACTTTATTGAAGACAGTGTCTTCAGTTTGAAACGACAAAAATTGTTGATAAGAAACTTTGTAGTCGTAGAAGTACTTAAAATATCCTGGAATTTTCTTATCGGACTTGTTGTATAAATATAGAGTCTCTATGTTGGGAAAAAACTTCTTTTTGTTTTTTAAAGGTATTGGATTGTAATGAAACATGGAGGGAATTTCACCGTACTTTTTACATACATGCACCATGTTAATGAAGTCGTTCATCGTTTTAAAATACTTGGAAACTATCATAAGAGAGTAACGATCCAATTTTGAATTCATTTCGTGTTTTTTAAAGATTTTGGTTTTATTCTCAGTTTAAAATAAGTTATTCTTCAATCGTGTTAAAAACGTACGTTTTTAACAATGACTACAAAATGATAATTTTATAAAAAATATATAAAAAACTTTTGTTATATTGAAGGGAAAAAATACAATTTATTCAATTAAATATTTAACAAGTTTTTTGATAACTATTAATTTATTACAAAAAGACTCATGTTATATCATTTGTTAAAATTATTTTCATTTAAAAATAATTATTATTTGTATTGGTTGAAATATAGTAAATTTATTATTCATTATATAGTTTTTCAAACCCTAAAAAACACAAAAATAAAAATTAAACATCCTTAAATTTAATGAAAAAACGTTTTAAAGAGAGGGAGGATTTATTTTACCAATTTCATGTACTTCATCCCATTGTCAATCCTATCTATTTAATAAAGCAATATTTAAAAAATGCCAAATAATGAAGTGATAATTCAAATAAAAAAGATCAAAGGTACAATAAATGCACATTTTTATTTTTCTGTTTTTTTCGAAACTTCAAACTAATTCTATTCTTTTCTCACTTCGTCTAGTATGAGTACTATAAAATATTATCAATTAATTAGAACTATAATACAGTTTTAATTTGATTAAAAAACACTTACAAATAAGTTTGAGATAGTTTTTTTTTGATTGAATAGAATTCAACCAAAAAAATTGATTGAATTTTTTTGATTCAAGACACTAACCATCAGAAATAGTTTAAATCAATTTAACTTGTAAAAACCATTTTTCATTCAAAAATGTTTATTTAAAATAAACTTTAATTTTGATACCAATAATCCGTCTTATCTTTTGTTTGAAAACAAGGTCTGAAAAAAACACAATTGATGTCAAAAGAATTGACCCTTTCTCATATCAAAGGTCGCACATACGACGTTGGTCAGGAGGTCTTTGCAAAACGTTATGTTGAGCAGCTTTCTCACAGCACGGCCCCACTGTTCCGTTATGTTTCTTCGACTTCAGACGCCGTTATAGAAATGACTGTAGGAGAATACCATCAAGCCGCCGATGCTGTTGCAAGTGCAATGTACACCAAAGCTCAAGTTAATAGAAAAGATGTTATTGGTGTTTTTCTTCCGAATTGTATAGAATATGTCATCATGGGAGCTGCTATAGAGGCCTCTGGCTTTATTATGATGCCGTTCAATCCGTTATTTAAAGCAGAACAACTTGCACACTTCTGCAATAAAGTTAGTCCAAAGCTCATAGTCACGTCGCCTGAGAAAATCAAAACGGTTTTAGAGGCGGATCCGACAGTCAAAATTTTAGTGATAAAAACGCCGAAGGAGGAACTTAAGACGATTGCAGAGGACATTAGGCGCTCCGACGTTTTAAAAAATTCAGAGGAAATTCGACGGAATTTAAAAATTGAAAAAAGTTCAAGTGAAGAGGAAACTTTTAAAAAATTCGAACAGTTGGAAGACCAACTCTTTTCATATGAAGAATTTTTAAAAACACCAATTGACACGGAAAGACTGAAATTTGAAAGAGAACAAATCCTCCCGCACGATGTCCTCTTTTATGGGTGTACGTCGGGAAGCACTGGAAATCCAAAGATATGTGTGTACGAGAATATGGGCTTCACCGCAAACATCTACGGCAATTCACATAACGTGCCCCTTGAGGAAAAAAGAGTCTTACTCTTCGCACCACTGTCGACGACTACGGGACACATCGCTATGGATGGGATGGTCATCAGATCATATTACGTCGTCTTCACTGATAAATTTGACGTTGAAAAAATCTTTAAAATTATTGAGGAGAATAAGGTGACTAATATCGGAGGAGCTCCACCGGCATTTTTGGCACTGATGAAACACCCAAATAGAACGAAGTACAACTTGAGCTCATTAAAGGAATTTGTCGTGGGCGGTGCAGTCGCGTCGGACTTCTTTATGGAGAGCTTAAAGAAGACATTTGGACTGAGTTATGTGACTTCCGGATTTGGAATGACGGAACTCTGTGGTTTGTTTTTTTTTGTCATTTAATGAACGAATTTGATAAGAAATCACACTGAATAATAATATTAATAATAATTCCATTGAATAATCTTATAATTATTCGAAAAGGTATTTTAAATCTTTTTTAAATAAATTTAAAATAAATTTAAAAACAATTTGGACAAGAAAAAGACCTAAAAAATCGGGTTATTTATTCTAAGTTAAAAATATACCTCTTTTTATTTTTATAAACAAATTTCATATAATTAAGTTCTTTCAATATTGTTATAGTCGTATTCCTTACTGACTCTATATATTATTCAATATAATTCAGAGTTAATAGGACCACCAAATAACACCAAGGTGTGATGTACCTAATGCCAGTGAAATCCACCAAACGTGTAGAAGGCAAATTTTCCCTCACAGCTGGTCCAAGTGCAAATGTTGAAGTTCGCGTAGTTGATTTAGAGACTCGGGAAATACTTCCCGTTGGGTTTTCTGGAGAACTTGAAGTGAAGTCTCAGCTAATGATGCGCTGTTATTTGAATAACAAAGAGGCGAACGACCAGGCGTTTACTGCAGATGGCTTCTTCAAAACTGGAGACGAGGTCCTCATCGAGAAAGATGGGTATATGAATGTGACTGGGCGAGTGAAAGAAATGATCATACGAGGGGGTCATAATGTGTGGCCGAAAGAGATCTGTGAGGTGTTGAACAAGCATCCTCGAGTTCAAGAGAGTGCTGTGATAGGGATTCCTGACAAAGTGCAAGGGGAGAAAGTTGTAGCATTTGTGTTACTTAAAAAGGGAGGAAATACTATAGACAATGAAATTATTAATTCGGAAATTATTGAAAAGGAACTTAAAAGCTATTTGAATGAACGAATAGTTTCTTTTAGTATTCCAACGTTCATTTTTACTCTTCCCGAATTTCCTAGGACGTCCTTTGGGAAGGTGTATCTTCCAAAATTACGAGAAATGGTCGGCGAAAAAATCAGAGAGAAGTGGAGAAGAGCTGAAGAGCTAAATGACGACATACCAAGAACGGAAATGGGAAAGGAAATCGCAAAGGTCTGGAGTGAGTTCTTCGAGATCCCAGTCGGCGCTCTTTCAAGAAAAACAGACTTCTTCGCACTGGGAGGAGACTCCTTTGTTGGAGCACAGACCATCGCTTATATCAGAAAGGTGGTGAAAACAGCCCCATTCAATTTGGTGAATAACAAACCGACAATAGGAGAATTAGAAGACTATGTATTGAATCCTGAAAGTACTGAAGGTGCTGGAAAGGAAATTAAAGAGGATTACGAACATTTACAGATCAGCACTTTTGAGGAGGTGTTCGGTAATGTATATGAAAACGTTGTTTGTTCTTTATCATTTATTATTATTATTAAATAGAATATTTACTATTTATTACTATTAATAAAGGTATAAAGTATAAATTAATATTATATTAAACTATAATATTTAATATAATTTTATATAGTTTAATATTAAACTATATTAAACCATATTATATTATTAATATTAACAATCAGTCTTCAGACTTTGAATTGCGTGACTCGGTTGTTATTACTGGAGCAACTGGGTACCTTGGAGTGTATTTAGTTACAGAAGCTTGCAAAATACCAACAATCAAAACAGTCTATTGTATTGGTCGTAGTGCCAATCAAAGTGAATTAGACAAGAAGATGAACACTATGTTACGTCATCTTGCACTTCCGTTTTCCACTAAAATCAAGAACGTCATTGGCGATGTCTCCAAACCACTTTTTGGCATGGAACAGACGGTGTACTCGACTCTACAAGAGAAGACTCGATTTTTCATTCACAGTGCAGCTATAGTGAATTGGGCGAAGAGCTATTCCCAGCTCAAGGCTACGAACTCTGTTGGTGTCAAAAACGCCATTATCTTCTGTGGGAAGACGATTCCACTGTGTGTCATCTCGACGATTGGAGCAGCACTTGACTTCAATGAGGAAATTTCCGCAAGAGTTCCTTTGAACACATTTGGGTACATCCAGTCGAAGTGGATGGGCGAAAAGTATTGTGAAAAAGCACTTCAAAATGGGTGCAAAGTCTCTTTGATGCGACCGGTTTTCATCTGCGCGGACAGCACAAGCGGGATCTGCAATACCGACGACTTCATCTACAAATGCTCAGAATTTCAGTTCTGACTCGAAAGTGCTTTGGAGG